CTAGCCCTGGGGCGGCGCACACGAGCCCACACACACCGTCTGTCCTTCTTGCGCTGCTTTAAATCTCATAAATTGTTTTAATTGAAATAAAATAAATCCTTTTTAATTCTGTTCCTCCATTAATCAGCCAGCAGCGCGAAGAGGCGGTCCAAACCTCCGCGCCGGCCTCGCGCGCGCCCGTGCCACGCCGGGGGTCCTTGCGGGCCAGTGAAGAGAACCACCGCCTAATAAACAATTAATTTCTGCAAATTATATTGAATTAATTTTTATAATTCAAAATTTATTGAATTTAAACGGTTTGGACGCCGCGCACTGCACAGACACCGGAAGCCGCCCGCGCGGTGTATCGACACCGGCGCGCCGTCGCTCGAGCAGGCCACATCAGCTCAGTGGAAGGTTTCCAGTCATTTAAATTAAATTTTAAATTAAATTTACAGAATTTAATATTATTTTAATCTATTTCAGTTGGTTTTTGGCAATATTTGGGCGTAGGCAACGGCCCCGCCCACGCTATCCATAGTCAGGCTGGCCGCTTTGCTACACAGACTCTAAACCCTGGACTGATAACCGTAAACCCTAAACCCTAGCCCCTAAGCAATACACCGTTGAGCCTACCATGCGTGAGAATTCACTTCATTTAGCCCTAAACCCTAAACCCTAAACCCTAGACCCTAGACCCCAAACTCTAGATGATGGGTTATCTGGTCACTTCAGCTCTAAACCCTACCCTAAGCGCTAAACCTCCAAACTTGAACTCTGCGGTTCAAACTCAAACCCTGCTGCTAAACCCTAAACCCTCAGATCGTCCACCCTAAACCCTAAACCCCAAACCTTAAACCCCAGATCATAAAGCCTGGGCGGGCGAACCCTAAACCCCAAACCCCAAGCTGCCGAAGTTGATAACCACGCAAAAGGTAACCACCTAGCGTACGAACAGTTGCCTGCCTGTCTGGCGGCAGACCCAAATTAGGGTTTAGGGTTTAGGGTTTAGGGTTTAGTAAACGGCGTAGCCCAGAGGCTGGTTGTTGGGAAAATGGCAAAAAGCCTCAATGTTGTTTTTGCGGTGCACATGATGCACGTGGGGCAGCAGCCACCCCTCAAACTCCACGTCGATTTCTCTGCAGCACAAACCCTAAACCCTAAACCCTAAACCCTGGATACCCTCTACAGTGTCTTGGCCGGTCCTAGAGGCTAGCGGACACTAAAGCTCTAGGGTTTAGGGTTTAGGGCTCACCGGCGGTCTTGCAGTGCGTAGTAGCGGCTCATGCGAACGAACTCGATGCGGGTTCTTCTAGCCCTTCAGACAAACCCTAAACCCTAAACCCTAAACCCTAAATCCTAAACCCTAGGCCATAAACCCTAAACCCTATGGCATGTAGTTCGCTTTTTAAGGCGCCAGAAACACAAATTTAGGGTTTCTGTAGTGTAGCAAAGGCATAGGGTTTAGAGTTGTCCCCCAGAGGAATTAGTATCTAGTGTTTAGGGTTTAGGGTTTAGGGTTTAGGGTTTACTTCATTTTGCTCCACTGCCAATAGGCACAATTCGCTATGCGAATGTCGAGGCCGCGCACGATCTTTTCTTGTAGACGGACTGCACATCAAACCCTAAACCGTAAACCCTAAACCCTAAACCCCAAAGCCAAACCCTCATCTCCCAAGTACACGCAAGATGCGCAATCCTATTATGAATACCCGAACCCTGAACCCCGAACCCTAAACCCTAAACCCCAGACCCTAAACCATAAGCCTCAAGTGCAAGCAAGACGCGCAGCCCTACTGTGAAAGCCCAAACCCCAAACCCTAAACCCAAAACCCTAAACTCTAAACGCTAAACCCTAAACCCTAAACCTTACCTGCTGCAGTCTTGCTGTTGGTGCCCACGTAGAAACGATCTGCGCTGTCGCAGCACCACGCGAGTCTCCTGTCTCTTTCTAGAATGTCGAAGCAAAGAACCCCTCTGCACGCACCCAAACCCTAAACGCTAAACCCTAAACCCTAAACCCTAAGCCTGAGGCCTCCACACACTGCAGCGAGAGACCTACCGCATTGGGTAGAGTTGGTGGGCGATCCTCAGCTTGGTCAGAATAGCACTCAACTGAAAACCACAAACCCTAGACCCTAGACCCTAAACCCTGAACCCTAAACCCTAAACCCTAAATCCTAAATTCGTAGTTCCATAATATATAAACGTGGCTGCTGCATCGAATTTCTGAACCCTCATTTCATGGCTATCCCGACGGAACAAAGGAAGCCCTAGAGCCCAAAACTCAGACCCCACAAACCTAAACCCTAAACCCTAAACCCTAAACCCTTAACCCTACCTTTCTAACGAAAACTGTTGGGGGTCTCGGGCTCAGAGTGATTTCGATGCGCTGCAGCTGCCGCAAGATGTTCCGAGTATTGTCTGCGGGCAAAGCACCAAACCCTAAACCCTAAACCCTAAACCCTAGACACCTTGCAATAAATCACTGAAATGGTCTTTATTTTGGGAGAAGCAAAAAAAAGCAGGGCATTCACTGCGGCAAAAGCTTCGAGTAGAAACCTCAAACCCCAAAGCCCAGGTCCTAAACCCTAAACCCTAATTCATAAATCCCTAACCCTGAGTCCCAAACCCTAAACCCTAAACCCTAAACCCTCATCCCCTCAGAAACCTTACGGTCAAGCTGTTCATACAGGGAGCGGTCTAGAGTGCGCAGCGCTAGTCGGCAGAGAAGAAGTTGCCTGCGCATTGCCAAACCCTAAACCCTAAACCCTAAACCCTAAACCCTAAACCCTAAACCCTGATTTGCTACTTCTTTGCCACCATGCGCCCAGTCTAGGGTTTAGGGTTTAGGGTTTGCAGCACCTGTGGAGCCGAGCATTAGAAGGACGCGTCCAGAAGGTCTCAGGCTGCGCAGCAGCAAATGCAGCAGCCCTGCAGCCGCAACAGCAGCAGCAGCACGTCAAGCCCTGAACTTTGCTGAGACCAACAGGAGGCTCGCAACGCTCTAAACCCTAAACCCTAAACCCTAAAGCAGTTCCCTAAACCCCGATTCTTGCGCTGCTGCTCACTTTTCCACAAAAGCCAGCAGCAAAGGGGCCCACTGCATCCCTTCTTGCTGCTGCTGGTGATGCTGCAGCAGCAAGGCTGCTTCTGCTGCTGCGCCCAGCGCGAGGCCGTCTTCCCGCTGCAGCTGCTGCTGCTGCAGCTGCTGCAGCAGCTGCTGCAGCTGCTGCTGCAGCGGCTGCAGCACCGCGGCTGAATGAATGTCCACATGGGCAAAGGCCAGCAGCAGCCGCGCTGCAGCAGCAAACGGCAGCAGCAGCTCTTGCTGCTGCTGCTGCTGAAACAGTGCTGCAGCAGCAGCAGCAACAGCAGCAGATGGCATTCGCTGCTGCGCAAAGGCCTCAGCAACATTGCAGAGGTCCCAAATATCCCAAAGGGCGGCCGCTGCGCACAAACCCTGAACACTAAACCCTAAACCCTAAACCCTAAACCCTTAGCCTGAACCCCTGGGTACTGGACTTCAGCACAGACTATAGCCCCTCATGCGCCCCTTTCAAAACCCTAAACCCTAAACCCTCCTGAGGGTTTAGGCCAAGAATTTAGGGTTCAAGGCTTTGTGCTTCAGCCTTGGTTCTAGGTCTTACGCCCAAAACCCTAAACCCTAAACCCTCCTGAGGGTTTAGGCCAAGAATTTAGGGTTCAAGGCTTTGTGCTTCAGCCTTGGTTCTAGGTCTTACGCCCAAAACCCTAAACCCTAAACTCTAAACCCTTCACTCTACACAGAACGCGCTAATGCATAGGCATTCAAGGCGGGAGCCAAAACTTTCAGCATGAATACCACGAATTAGGGTTTAGGGTTTACCCTTCTCAGGCCCTATTTGCTGCAGCGCGGTTTGTGCATCTTCGAAAAAATCAAAATGGAGAAAAGCCAAACGGCGGACAGCTTTACTCACTCCTGAACGCAAACCCTAAACCCTAAACTCTAAACCCTAAACCCTAAACCCTAGACCTTTAGGCCTAAACACTTCCCAGACAGACTGAGCGCCAGGACTGAAGCTGTGCTGCTGCGGCCATTCTCCGCCTGCAGCAGGCGCCCTCCACTGCTAGGGTTTAGGGTTTAGGGTTTAGGGTTTGGGCTGACGTGGCAGCTGCTGCAGCAGAGACTCAGGCTCTGCTGCTGCTGCTGCAGCAGAACGGCCCAGGCTGAGAAGGCCCCCAAGAACAGTAAACTCGCGCAGGCCAATTGCCAGGCAGCCCTGCAGCGCAAACCCTAAACCCTAAACCCTAAACCCTAAACCCTAAACCCTGAACCTTGCGGCCGAGGTGCGTGAGCGAGAAACGAGTCGAGTGCTCTGGACTCGACAGGGAGCTAGGGTTTAGGGTTTAGCGTCTGAGAATTAGGGTTTGGAAGCTAGGGTTTAGGGTTTAGGGTTTTGGTGTTGCGGCCTAGCCTACAGACCTCAAGAAGAAGACAGATATGTTCCAGCGTCAGAGGATCCTCGCTCTCGCCCAGCTCCAGCTGCTGCTGCTGCTGCTGCTGCTGTCGCTGCTGCTGCTGCTCTTGCACACAGCGCCTCCACAGGGCCCGCAGCGGGCACCAGTCTGCGGCTGCTATGTCTTCTGCTGCTGCTGCTGCATCTGGTGCTGCTTCTGCGTCTGCTGCTGGTGCTGCTGCAGCCCGCAGCAGCTGCAGCGGCACTTCCGCCGCAAGCTGCCGAGATGCAGCAGCAACTGTGAGGCGTTTTCTGCTGCTGCAGTCTGATCCTGCTGCTGCTGCAGCATGGGTTGCTGCCGCAGCATTTGCTGCCCCCCCAGCAGCTGCTGCTGCATGCACCGTGCGCCTGAAGAAGACTGCTGCTGCTGCTGCTGCTGATGCTGCTGCTGACCCAGCAGCAGGTGCAGCAGGCACTCCTGCAGCACGCAGCCACCGCCCCCGACTTTCACGTAGCGGGGCCCCTGCTGCTGCTGCTGTTGCTGCTGCCGTTTCGGTCGTTGCTGCTGCAGTTGCTGCTGCAGTTGCTGCTGCTGCTGCGGCTCTGCAGCGAGAGATAGGCCCGCTGAGGCAGCGGTGGCCCCACTGTAATACGTGCGGAGCCAGCATAGCTTGCTGTTGCTGCTGCCGTTGCTGCAGCTGCTCCTGCGGCCGTTGCTGCTGCTGTTGCTGCTTCTGCTGCAGCCGCGTCAGCCGTTAGTTAGTGCTGCTGCCGCTGCAGTTCTTGTAGCGGCATCTGCCGCATCTGTATTTAGCTGCTGCTAATAGATCTCGGCGCTGCAGCTAGTGGCTTTCTAGAGCAGCAGCAGCAGCTGCTGCGGCTGCAGCGCAAACGAGAACAGCAGCAGCAGCAACTGCTGCAGCAGCAACTGCTCCTGCTGCTGTCGATGGTGGGCTTGTAAAGCGCGACGGCACGAGATCTAAAAAAAACTTTAAACCATTTAAAGAGATAGTGCCCTTGTTCTAAAATTGTACCTGCAGCAGCAGCAGCAGCAGCAGCAGCAAGAGCTGCTGCTGCTGCTGCCGCTACTGTAGTGACCGCATGCTGGTGCATGCAATGTGTCTACAAGCCATCTAGCCAGCTAAGAGTTGAAATTTGTTCTCTTTGAATTATTAAAAATAAATTAGTTTTATTTAAGTTGGGTGTTTCTGCTTCTGCTGCAGCGCCCCTGCGGCTTCGCGGTGTCTAGCGAGCAGCAGCAGCAGCAGCAGCAGCAGCAGCAGCCGCAGCAGCACTTACTGAGTGTGTACAGAAGTGGAGTTTAAGGGCTTGTGCTGCTTGACTTTTGCTTTTTGCGGAGTTTGTAGTTTGACGCAGGGCCGGCGCGTGCGCAGGCCCTAGGGTTTAGGGCTTAGGGTTTAGGGTTTGGCGGAATGGGGGAAATGACTTCCGCGGCGCTTTCCGCGCTGCTGCGGGAAAAGCCGAAAGTCTACTACAGAACAGCAGCACTGAACTCTGTGCTGTACGTACACCGCAGAGGCTTTTCTTCTTTGGGAGGCCTCGAGGGTTTTTCGGGACTGAAGGCTCTTTACGCCGACGGCAATGGTTTGTGCTGCTGCAGCAAACCCTAGCTTTCTGCTGCTGCAGCAAACCCTAGCTTTCTGCCGCTGCAGCAAACCCTAGCTTTCTGCTGCTGCACAAAACCCTAGCTTTCTGCTGGTGCAGCAAACCCTAGCTTTCTGCTGCTGCAGCAAACCCCAGCTTTCTGCTGCTGCAGCAAACCCTAGCTCCCTTAGCTGCTGCAGCAAGCCCTAGAACCTTCAGCTGCTGCAGCACGCGCTGCAGCAGCAGCAGCAAGCGCTGCTGCGGCCCTGACTGCTTACCTGAAACCCTCTAGCCGTTTAAACGCCGCAGCAGCAACTGCTGCTGGCTGCCAGCTGCTGCTGCTGCTGCTGCTAGCTGCTGCTGCTAGCTGCTTGCTGCTGCTGCACACAACCCCAGTGCTGCTCACCAGCTAGCTGCTGCTGCTGCCAGCTGCAGTGCTGCAGCAAAAAAATACAACTGCGCTGCTGCAGCAGGTGGCGGCTCTGGCGCAGCCTCGCTGAAGCTAGGGCAGCAGCAGCAGCAGCAACGGCAGCAGGAGCAACTGCTGCAGCAGCAGAGGGTGCAAATACAAGCAGCAACGGAGCATTAGTTAGGGCGTTGCAGATAGCAGCACATAGTGCTTAGGGTCCAAGCTATTATAGGGTTTAGGGTCTAGGGTTTAGGGTTTAGGGTTTAGGGTTTGTGTTGTGCTTAGCAATATCCAAGATAGAGGGTTTAGACAACTGCACTTCGCTGCGAACTCTGTGAGCATAACCCTAAACCCTAAACCCTAAACTCCAAACCCTAAACCCCTACACCTAAGGCCTTGGCCTCCAAAAGCGCTAAACCCTAAACCCTTGCAAAGCAACGGTTTAGGATTTGGCTGCCTCTGCGGACCTGTATATAGACCCTTCAACGCTACCTGGGGTTTAGGGTTTAGGGTTTAGGGTTTAGGGTTTAGGGTTTAGGGTTTAGCACAGCGGCGAGGTTGATGCCGAACGCCATCGGATTCGCCCTTTGCTGCTGTTGCTGTTGCTGCTGCTGCTGCTGCCACTGCTGCTGAACTGCTGCTGCTGTTATTTCTGCTTCTACTGCTACTGAGACTGGCTCTGTTGCTGCTGTTACTGTTGCTGCTGCTGCTGCTGCTGCTGCTGCTAAGGTGTTTGAACGAAAACTGCATTCGGTCAATTTCTGGACTTTCGCCGCTGAAGGATTTGAGGGTTTTGAACCTCAGCAACAACTTCATCAACGACTTGTCCGGCCTAGGTAGGGTTTAGGGTTTAGGGTTTAGGGTTTGAAGGTTTACGGAACCGGGAAGGGCGGGGGCGGAACGAGAAAACGCGATTCCTGTAAACATGAGCTTTTCGGCCCAGCATTTAGGGTTTAGGGTTTAGAGTTTAGGGTTCAGGGTTAAGGGTTTAGGGTTTAGGGTTTAGGGTTTAGGGTTTAGGGTTTAGGGTTTGGGGGGTTTAGTCCGAGACAAGCCAAACAGCGTAAAAAGCCCAGCCCCTGGCTGTTTGTTTATGTGTCTTTTTTTTAATTCTCTTAATTTCCTCTTAATTCCTCTTTAATTCTTTTTCAAATATTCTTTAATTCTTTTTATTTTTTAATTTTAATTTCTTTTTTTTATTTTTAATTTATTTAAATTCCATTTTGCTTTTATTCCTCAGAGGGCTGCTGCCCGCTACTGGAGACGCTGCACTTGGGTTCGAACCAACTGGAGGACTCAAAGCTAAACCCTATTTTAGGGTTTAGGGTTCTGGCGGTTTTGGACCTCAGCAACAACAGAATTCAAAAGGAAGAAAGCATAATGGCCTTCAAACAAATCAAACAACTCAAAGTCCTTTATATGCAGAGAAACCCCGTTGTCAGGCCCAAACCCTAAACCCTAAACCCTAGCTAGTGCGCTCTGGCGCGCAAACCCTAAACCCTAAACCCCAGAGGTGGGGCCTTTTCAAGAAGCAAAAGAGTTAAATTAAAAAGGGTTGTATGTAAAGAAAGGAATATTTGCAAAGTATATATGCATAAATGCTGCTGCTGCTGCTGAACATGCTACTGTTGGTGCTGCTGGTGCTGCTGCTGCTGAACGCGCTGCTGTCGCTGCTGTTACTGCTGCTGCTGAACATGCTGGTGCTGCTGCTGCTGCTGCTGCTGCTGCTGCAGGTGTCTCTAATGGCGCACTACAGGCAGCGGACAATTGTCTCTTTGGAGACACTTACCTTTTTGGACGAGGCCCCTGTGAAGGAGACAGACAGAAGAGTTGCTGCTGCTTTTGTGGCGGGAGGAGCAGCAGCAGCAGCAGCAGCAGCAGCAGCAATTCGCCAAGAGAAACAGGCCCAGAGACTCAGGGCCATGCAGGGTCTGCAGCAGCCTGCTGCCTCAGCAGCAGCAGCAGCAACTGTCTCCTTTGTCTTTTATTTTGTATCTATTTTATTTGTTTTGTGTCTTCTTTTATTTCATTTTATTTCATTTTGTTTTGTTTTATTTTGCCGTATTTTATTATTTTATTTTATTTTATTTTACTTTATTTCGTCTAACTTTCTTTAATTTAATTTATTTTGTTTGTCCCCTTTTTATTTATTTATTTTTGTCTTCTTTTTATTAGTTATTTAAGTCTATTATTAATTCTTTTTTAAGTTAATTTAACCTTTTTGAAAAGTCTTTTGAAGTGTTTATTTAGAACTTCTTTAAATGTTTTTTTAATTATTTTTAAAATGTTTTTTAAATATCTTTTGAAGTATTAAAAAATTAAAAAAAACCTTTTAAATATCTTTGAAATATCTTTTTTAATTCTTTCTAAATTCTTTTTCGAGTACTTTTTAAATGCCTTTTTCAATATTTGTGAATTCTTTTTAAATCTTTTTAGAACTGCTTTTAAAATCCTTTTTAAATGCCTTTTTTAATTCCTTTTAAGTATATTTTCAAAACGTCTTTTGATTCTTTTTAAATGTCCTCTTAAATCTTCTTCCAAATCTCTTTCAAAAATCTCTTAAAAATCTCTTCAAATCTGTTTTTGAATTCTTTTCAAATATCTCCTTTAATATTTCTTTATATTCTTTCAAAAATGTTTTAAAATATTTTTAAAATTACTTTTAAATGTCTTTTTTTTATTTTTGTTTTTTCTCATTCAAGAGTTCAAGCGGATGTGCGAAGAGGCCCGTAGAGCAGCAAATGTCCAAACAAACGACAGGCAAGCAGCAGCAGCAGCAGCAGTAGCAGCAGCAGCCAGCAGTAGTAGTAGTAGCAGCAGCAGCAGCCAGAAACAGTAGCGGTAGCAGCACAAGCAGCAGCAGGAACAGCAGTAGTTGCAGCAGCAGAAATAGCAGTAGCGGCAGCAGCAGCTGGAGTGGCAGCAGCAGCAGCAGTAGCAGCAGCAGTAGCAGCAGCACCAGAAGCAGATGGAGCGGCAGAAGCAACAGCAGCCCTTCGGCCCACGGGCGCTGCGGGGAAAAAGGACAGACGACCGTTGTGGCTGCTATTTGCTGCTGCTGCTGCTGCTGCTTCTGCTGCTGTTGCTGCTGCTGCTTTTGCTCAGTGATGGTGACGCCAGCGAAAACAGCGGCGGCGGCGGCAGCAGCAGCAGCAGCAGCAGCAGCCAGCTGCAAATTCCTTCGTTGCACCTGCGGAGCGAAAGCACTTGCTGCAGCACTGACCGCTCCCTTAGTGAGTGCAGCAGCGAGCGGAGCCTTGACGTTGCTGCTGCTGCTGCTGCAGACGGAGCAGCAGCAGCAGCAACAGCAGCGGAGGAAGCAGCAGCAGACGAAATAGCAGCAACACCAAGTGAGGCGACGCAAGGCCAGTCCCAAGAAGCAGCAGCAGCAGCAACACAAGAGGAACTAAGCTTTGCAGCAGCAGCAACAGCAGCAAACGAAGCAGCAGCGGGAGTTGGAGAAACGCCGACTACTGAAGAAGCAGCAGCAGCAAACGAAGAAACAGCAGCAGCAACGGAGGAAGAAGCAACAGCACACGAAGCAGCAGTACCAGAAGAAGCAAAGGCATCAGCAAATGAGATGGCAGCAGCAAAAGAAGCAGCAGCAGCAAATGAAACAGCCGCAGCAGAAGCAGCAGCCGCAAATGAAATGCCAGCAGCAGGAGCAGCAGCAGAAGCAGCAGCAGCAAATGAGGCAGCAACAGCAGAAAAAGCAGCAGTAGCAAACGAAGCGGCAGAAGTCCCCAGTGAAGCAGCAGCAGAAAGCAAAGTGGCGGCAGCAAATGAAGCAACAGCAGCAAACAAAGCAGCAGCAGCAACAAATGGAGCAACCGCTGTGGCAAATGGCACGGCAGCAGCAGCAAATGACGCAGCAGCAGCAAATAACGCAACAGCAGCAGGTGAAGCGGCAGCAGCAACTGGAGCAGCAGGAGGGGCAGCACCACGGGAGTCAGAAGCAACCGAAGCAGCAGCAGCAGCAGCCGAAACTTTAGGTGCAGCAACAGCAAACCAGGGAGAAGCACAAACACAAGACATTGCAGCAGCAGCAGCAACAACAACAGATGAAGAAACTGGAAAACACGCAGCAGCAGCAGCCAATAAGAGTGCAGCACCAGGCAGCGCTGCTGCAGCAAAGGACAATGAAGCAGCAGCAGAAAGATGCAGCAGCAGCAGTCTCTAAATTAGAAGCAGCAGATGCAGCAGCAGCAGCAGCACCAAAGACTCCAGCAGCCACTGCGGCAGCTGCAGCTGCTTCTGCCACCGGTGCAGCAGCAGGAGCAACATCCAATGCCATTCAAATATCTAACGTATAGAAAACAATGGTTAAAGTCAGAAGCAAAAGGAGAGAGCTCTGGGCTGTTCTGCTGCTGCTGCTGTTGCTGCTGCTGTTGCTGCTGCTGCTGTTGCTGCCGCTGCAGCCGGCAGCTGCTGCCACTGTCACCCTTGCTGGAAGAAATGTTGCTGCGTCTGCTGCTGCAGCTTTGCAGCAGCAAGTACAGCAATAACAGCAGCAGCTGCCGCTGCTGCAGCAGTTTTGGCAACAACTGCAGCTGCAGCAGGTGCTGCTGCAGCCCTTGCAGCAACAGGATTAGCAACAGGTGCTGCAACAGCAGCTGCTGCTGCTGTTGCAGCACCTGTAGCAACAGCTGCAGCGGCAGCAGCTGCTGCTGCAGCACTTGCAACAACACCTGCAGCAGTTGCAGTTGCAGAAATTGCAACAACAACTGCAGCTGCAGCAACTGCAGCAGCAGTTGCAGGTGCCGCAGCACCTGCAGCAACAACTGCAGCAAAGCTTTTGCCGCTGTTGCTGCAGCTCTACAGGCTGCTGCATGCTGCAGCAATGCGGTTAGCTAGACTGCGCGCGCAGGCACACAAAACCTAAACCCTAAACCCTAAACCCTAAACCCTATGTTCTAAGTTCTGACGCCACCGCCGCAGCCCAACTGCAGCAGCAGCAGCAACAGCAGCACCAACAGCAGCAGCAGCAGCAGAGTACCTCTGTGTAGCCGCTTTGATTCTAAAATAAACAGCAGCAGCAGGAGCGTCAATGCTGAGGTGTATATACACCGCGCCTTCTGCTGCAGTGCCTGCAGCAACAGCTTCTTCGCCAATGACTTCTACCACTGCTGCCCCGAGGCTTTTCTGCAAGCAAACCCTAAACCCTAAACCCTAAACCCTAAACCCCAGGCCAGCCCCGGGACACTCAGCAGGCAACGCTCTAGGGTTTAGGGTTTAGTTGAGGCTTCGACGGCAAGCTTTTAGACCGGATTTGCCGTGAGGGTTTACTATTCAAAATTAGGGTTTAGGGTTTAGGGTTTAGGGTTTAGGGTTTACAGAGAAGACTTCTCGGGCGTAGTCTGCGCAAGCCGTCGGCCGCTGCAGCGCCGCAGTTGCTGCGGCCTCCCCAGGCAGCAGACCCCAGCCGCGGCCCAACTGCAGCAGCAGCAGCAGCAGCAGTAGCAGCAGCAGCAGCAGCAGACGAGTCCTTTAAGTGCACATAGTAAGACGGGCCCTTCTGAAGTGAGAATGAGAGTGACAGCAGCAGCAGCAGCAGCAGCAACTGCAGCAGGGGAGTCAGGTCACCTGTTCTGTCGTTATCGCCATCGGCTGGAGCAGCTGTTGCTCCTGCTGCTGCTGCTGCTGCAGACTCAGTGACAGGACATCCATAACCAGATCATCTACCCCAGTGCTGCTGCTGCTGCTGCTGCTGCTGCTGCTGCTGCTGCTGCTGTCAAGGTCAAGCAGGTCGACTGGGGGGGCGTGCTTCTGAACTACTGAGGGAGCAGCAGGAGCAGCAGGAGCAGCAGAAGCAGCAGCAGGGGCCGTTGCTGACGGGGAAATGATGAGAGGTGTCCCGCTTGCAGGCATTGCAGCAGCAGCAACAGGAGCTGCTGCTGCTGCTGCTGTGGCGTCCCCAGCAAGCCCCCCGAACAGCGCAGCAGCCATGCGCTCCCGCTCTGTGAGCTCCCGGTGCTGCTGCTGCTGCTGCTGCTGCTGCGCGTACTGAGGCTGCGGCGGCAGCTCCATAGCGGAGACGGCTGCGATTGCTGCATGCGGCTGCCAGCTGCTGCTGCTGCTGGCAGCAGCAGGTGCAGCAGCAGCAGCAGCTGCTGCTGGGTCAGCGCCGTTGATTGTCCCCACAAAGCCAAACGGGCCCCACCGACGAGGCCCTGCGCATAAACCCTAAACCCTAAACCCTAAACCCTAAACCCTCACGTGGAAAACCTAGCAGGACCATAGCTGCTGCTGTTGTGCCCCCTAAACCCTAAACCCTAAATCCTAAATCCTCACCCTGTACATTGAAGCCAGTGCTGGACTCAGCAGCAGCGCTGCCAGCCCCTTGCTGCAGATGCTGCTGGTGCAGTTGCTGCTGCTGCTGCTGCTGCTGCGGTGCAGCCGGCGGAGCGTAGGGCGTGAAGTTAAGAGCAGCTGTGTGGTGCTGCAGCGCCGCAGCAAAACCCTTAACCCTAAACCCTAAACGCTAAACCCCAGTTGTAGCGGTGGCCGATCTCACAAACCCTAGAACAGTTCCCTCAAGCCCCAAACCCTAAACCCTAAACCCTAAGCCTTTGAGGCTGGACGCACTGGCTGGTGTTGCTGCGCAACAACTGCTGTTGCATGCACTGCTGAATCTGGAGCAGCAACAGCAGCAGCAGCAGCTGCTGCTGCTGCTCTCTTGCTCAGTGGCACGTACTCCGCGGCTCCAGCTGCAACAGCAGCACGAGCGTAGGCCTGCAGCAGCCATAACAGCAGCAGCGAGTTATGTTGAGCAGCAGCTGCAGCAGCAGAAGCTATTGCAGCAGTGACTGCAGCAGCAGCGGCAATTGCAGGAGCAGCAACTCCAGCAGCAGCAACTGCAGCAGGGGCAGCTGCATTGGCCGCAGCTAAAGTAATAGTAGCTGAAGCAACAGCAGCAGCAGCTGCAGCAGCACCTGCTGCAACAGCAGCAACTGCGGCAGCAGCAGCAACTTACGGCTCCTGTGTTCAGCAGGTCCTCTGTTGGAATATCTTCGTTTGCCGCATCAAAGGGGAAAACTTCCCTGAAGACCAAACCCTAAACTCTAAACCCTAAACCCTAAAGCCTAGACCCTAAACTGCAGAGCTTCCAAGCATGCTTGTGGCTTGAGAGTTTGTTCTGCCTCTAGGGTTTGGCTTTTGCATTGGGGTTAAGGGTTTAGGGTTTACCCGAGGAGCCGGGGCGGCAGCAGCTGCAGCAGCAAAGCCCCTCTAAAACACCTTTCTTGTATGTCAGTGGAGCCGAGGTACTTTTGCTGCTGCTGCAGCAGCTGCAGCACGAGGCCGTCAACAGCTGCTGCCTTTCCTGCTGCTGCTGCAGGGCCTGCTGCTGCTGCTGCTGCTGCATTCAGCGCCGACAGCTTCACCAGCGCCCACAGCGCCCAGCCCTGGGTGCTCGCGCTTTTGGTACTGCAGACACAAGGGTTTAGGGTTTAGCGTTTAGCGTTTGGGGGCCCCAAGCGCCGTGTGCTCAGCCCCGCGGCTCATGGCCCACGACCCCGCTAGGGTTTAGGGTTTAGGGTTTACGGTTTACCGCAGCGCTGCGTCCCGTAGCAGTGCCAGCAAGTCGTGCTGCGTGAAATCCGGCAGAGAGCAAAGGGAGCCATACTCCCCCAGCACCCAACTTGCCACCTGAGCACAAACCCTAAACCCTAAACCCTAAACCCCAAACCCTAATTGTGGGCTTCCGGCGGCGGCTGAAGAGCAAACCCCTAAACGGTTTTGCTGCGCTTGAAACTACAGACGCTGTCCTTGCAAAACCCTAAACCCTAGCAAAGCGCGCCATAAACCCTAAACCCTAGCAAAGCAAGCCCTAAACCCTAAACCCTAGCCACAAGACAAGCCCTGAAGACTCGCTGTCGACAAGGCCCAAACCCTTGCCGCGAACGAAATCCCTAAACCCTAAACCCTAGCCGCGCAGCTGAACCCCGCGCCAGCGCCCTAGCCATGAAGCTCCCCCAAACCCTAAACCCCAAATCCTAAACCCCAAACCCTAAACCCCAAACCCCAAACCCCAAGCCCTAAAACCCAAACCCCAAACCCTAAACCCCAAACCCTAAACCCTAAACCCTAAACCCTAGGCGCGCCTGGATGAGGATGTCGGGCAGCTGCTTCTTTTGCTGCAGCAGCAGCGCCAAAGAGTTGACCACATAAGTCCTAAAAGCTGTGTCTTCTTCGGGGCTTCCGTCGCTGCCGTCGACGAGCAGCTGCAGCAGCGACTGTGCTGCGTGAACTGCTGCTGCTGTGCTGCTGCTGCTGCTGCTGCTTGCTGCTGCCAGCGCCGGCGCGACTCCAGCAGCACTTAAGGACGCGCAGGCCCCCCCCACTTCCAGCAGCGAGAGCACCGCGCCCACGAACCACTTAGGGTTTGGCGAGAACCTGCGCCGCAAAGGGTTTAGGGTCTACGGTTTAGGGTTTAGGGTTTGGGGTTTGGGGCCGCGCGAGGGTTTGGCGCCAGCGGGGCGCCGCGGCGTGCGACGGCCGCGGCGCAGCGCGCGGGCGCGCGCCCCCCAGGGCGAGGGCTCAGGACCTAGGGTTTAGGGTTTAGGGTCTAGGGTTTAGGGTTTGGGACCTTTCGGCGAGCATGGCGACTCGGGAAACGAGGCTGGCGCGGAGGTGAGGGTCTGCTGCTGTGCGCAGGTGCTGCATGAGGCTGGCGACGACGAAAGCCACGTTGCTAGGGTTTGTGATTGCAGAAAGAAGACAAAGGGTTTTGTGTTTGAGAGTGTCGTCTGCATCTTCCAAACAGTCAATGACAGCTAGCTGGTGGCTAGCTACGTGGCTAGCTGCGACAGCAGCGAGCGCAGCGAGCCCCGCCACGCCCACGTAGCGCAGGTTGTTGTTGCTGCACAGCAAAAACTTGGACGTTGCTGCTGCTGCTGCTGCCAGCAGCCGCTGCTGCGGGTATACTGCAGCAGCAGCACAAACCCCCGAATACACTAATGCAAACCCTACATTAGCGGAACAGTCTGCGCGCCGCATCGTCTCCTCCAGCACCAAGTAAACCTCCGAAGAAAGCCGGGGGTCTCCCGCCACCAGCGAAGACAGCACCGACAAAATGTTCATCTGCACGCCCCAAACCCTAAACCCTAAACCCTAAACCCTCACGCAAACCCTAAACCCTCACGCAAACCCTAAACCCTCACGCAGACTCGGACCCTCCAGGCGGGGCTCCCGCCACCAGCGAAGACAACACCGACAAAATGTTCATCTGCACGCCCCAAACCCTAAACCCTAAACCCTAAGCCCTAAACCCTGCAAAACCCCAACCCTAAACCCTAAACCCCAAACCCTAAACCCTAAACCCCAAACCCTAAACCCTTCTTGCCTGGATCCAGGGCGCCGGGACTCTGTGGTATTCGTAGTCTTTGGGGAGCTTTCTGTCGATGATTTGTTTGAGAATGGAAACCAAAGAAGGAATGAAAACCCTACTTTGGGGTTTGTGAGTTTTTGCCAAAAGTCCCAACAGATGAACAGAAACCCCCATGACTGAAGGGTCTCCGTCGCAGACTGCGCGGCGCACTTTCCCGAACAAATCCGCCACCACGTAGCCCTCCTGCTGCTGCTGCTGCTGCTGCTGCGGCTGCTGCTGCTGCTGCGGGTCCGGCAGCGGGGGGGGGGGGCTCAGGATGAGAATGCGGTGCAGCACCATCAGGGCTTTGCGGCGAATTGCTGCTGCTGGGTGCTGCAGCAAATCTGCTGCTGCTGCAGCAACACAAGGCAGCATGTCCAGCGTCAGCAGCCGCGAGACGCACTGCAGCGCCGCGTGCACAAACAACACGTTTGGAGAACGCAGGTCCTGCGAACACAAACCCTAAACCCTAAACCCTAAACCCTAAACCCTAGACCCTAAACCCTGGCCCTGGACATTCAGTCCTCAGCCCTAGCCGTAAACCCTAGACCCTAGCTAGACCCTAGCCTTTAACCCTGAGCCCGAAACCCTACGCCCGAAACTCTAAACCCTAAACCCATGAGCCCTAAACCCTAAACCCTAATCCTAAACCCTGAACCCAAGCCCTAAACCCTAAACCCTGGGGGAGAGACAAGACACAGCTAAGTGAAACGGCCCTGCATCGCCCCCAAATCCTAAACCCTAAACCCTCGCAAGACCAAAACAAAAACCATGAGACAAGAATGAGCCAACTGGAAGAAAGAAGCAGCTCTGCAGACAAACTTAGGGTCTAGGGTTTAGGGTTTAGGGTCTACCTTCTGGATGGTGTTCACGAGCAGAAGCATCAGCTCGTGGTCTTGATGGAGGAACAAATTGCAGGCCAAGTATCCTGCACGAGGCAAACCCCAAACCCTAACCCCTAATCCCTAAACCCTAAACCCTAAACACTAAACCCTCGAACGACTCGCGCTGTTTCTGCTGCTGCTGCAGCCTGGCAGCTCAGGCCTCCGCAGAACAAGATAATTAGGGTTTGCACAGAGCCTCTCAGGAGGCGTTAAGAAGCAGCTAGGGTTTAGGGTTTAGGGTTTCCGCAGCTAGGGAGTGCCAGCAGCCGCGCTGACGGAGCAGCAGCACCAAGGGTTTAGGGTTTAGGGTTTCGGGCTGGGGCTTCCTGGGCGCGACGCTCAGGCCTTCGCGCCAGGGTTTAGGGCTTAGGGTTTAGGGTTTAGGGTTTAGAAGACCTATCCACTTCGCCTTGGCCTGCTGCTGGTTCGCCAAATTAACTGCATGGATATGTGCAAAGGCGGCGCTGTGGCCCAGCAGCTCGATATAAATGCTTCGGATTATGAATTCTTGCATCTTGCGCTGCAAACCCTAAACCCTAAACCCTAAACCCTAAACCCTAGCGCGGCCCCCACGCGCCCCTCAGGCGCACGCTGCGGGCAAGCTGCGCGCGAGGGTTTAGGGTTTGCTGCAAGCCTCGCTTCAGGGTTTGCAGCTACAGCGCAGGCGCAGCCAGCCCCCGGCGTTTAGGGTTTAGGGTTTGTGGTTTAGGGTTTAGGGTTTGTGGTTTAGGGTTTGCGTACTGTCGAGACTCTGGGCTGGTTCATCCGCTGCTTCAACACGACAGTCTCATTGGCTATGATGCGGTCTTCCTCCTGTGCACAAACCCTAAACCCTAAACCCTGAACCCTAAACCCTAAACCCTAAACCCTAATACTCCATCCCGCATACTGAACCCGCACACCGTAAACCAAAACCCTAAAGCCTAAGCTGTAAACCCCAACCCTTAAGCCTGAAAAGCACCAAGTGCTAGGGATGGAAACCCCAAACCCTTAACCCTAGACGATAAAACCTCAACCCTAAACCCTAAACCCTTAGCCCTAAACCCTAAACCCTACCTGTTTAGACCTTGCCTCCCCGATGAACTTGATGAGGTCGAAGAACTCACGGCTAACGTGGGGGCCAGCGCCATTCATTTTCGCGAGGGTTTAGGGTTTAGGGTTATGAGTGAGATAGGGCCGTGGCTAAACCCTAAACCCTAGGCTTCTAAACCCCAGGTTTCCGTTGTAGCTGCTGCTGCTCCAGAGGCTTCAGCCGCAGCAGCACCCGCTGCAGCGGCTGCTGTTGCGGCAGTTGCTGCTGCTGTTCTATTTGCTGCTGTTGCTGCTGTCCTATTTGCTGCTGCTGTTGCTGTTACGGCTGCTGCTGCTGCTGGAGTTGCTGCTGCTGCTGCTGCTGCCGCCGCTGCCGCCGCTGCCGCTGCCACCGATGTTGCCGCTGCTGCTGTGCTCTTTTACGTAGGGGCGAGCAGGGTTTAGGGTTTAGGGTTTAGGGTTTAGGGTTTAGACAGCGTCGCTCGGCGCCGCCGACACGCACGGCAAGGGTTTACGGGCCAGGGTTTAGGGTTTAGGGTTTAGGGCTTAGGTTTTCTGTCCTATCAAGCCAAAATTTTGTTTTTCGAGGCCCCTAAAAAACAAATTAGATGAGCAGCTGAGGTGTAGCTGTAGCTTTTGCTGCTGCTGCTGCGTGTCCGGGCATCGCTTGCTGCTGCTGCTGCTGCTGCTGCAGGAAGAGACGCGTTGCCGCAGTTGCTGCAGCTGGCTGCTGCTCTTTGAGCATCAACACGACCTGCGGCAGCACGTGTTGCTGCTGCTGTCTTTGCTGTTCCGGTCGAAGGCGCTGCATGCAGCAGCAGCAGCAGCAGCAGCAGCATGGGCTGTTTGCTGCTGGGGCTGCAGCAAGATCAGCAGCAGGAGCAGCAGCAGCAATGAATTTGAATCCAATTTCCCTTTTCATTTAAAACGCGCTCACTAGATAGATCCTAGATATAACATCCTCCTTGGGCGGTACGGAGCCGTCATAGCTGCTGCTGCTGCTGCCGCTGCTACTGCTGCTACAGCCGCTGCTGCTGCTACAGCTGCTGTTGCTGCTGCCGCAGCTGAAACAATGACGCGAGGGCCGCAGCGGCTCGCATGGCTCGGCCTGCTGCTGCTGGTGCTGCTAGCGCTCAGCAGCAGCAGCAGCAGCAACAGCAGCAGCAGCAGCAGCAGTTATGGATTGGTTACCTTCGCTGACGCGCAGGTCTGCTGAGGGAATCCCAAACCCTAGAAGCTGGCGTGTTAACAAAAGCTTAAACCCTGAGCCCTAAACCCTCAGCTGCACAGCTCCAAACCCTAGCGCATTCAAGCCTCGAGGCGCCCGTTCTGGTGAAGGGCTCAGCTGTGTCTGCTAGGGTTTAGGGTTTAGGGTTTAGGGTTTGTGGTACTCAGGGCTTTCGAGGGGCACCGCAGCTGGCAGAGGCTGGAGCTCCTCCGCGAGTAAGCCCTAAACCCTAAACCCTAAACCCTCACCCCTGGATAGGGGACCTGCAGTTAGGTGTCTGCGGTTTAGGGTTTAGGGTTTAGGGTTTCCTGCGTGCAGCGACTCCAAGCGGGCATCAGCTTCGACGAACAGGACAGAGCGCAGAAAGGGTTTATCGTCATTTGGTGCGCTAAACCCTAAACCCTAAACCCTAAACCCTCAGCCCAGTGCAGTTTGGAAGTTAAGGACGCCCCACATAGAGGCAGAAGCACTGGGATGTTGTGAGCCTAGGGTTTGCTTAGGGTTTAGGGTTTAGGGTTTAGGGTTTAGGGTTTCGCAGGATGAGCATCACTCTGGTGTTTGTGGTGATCCTTGGCATTTGGGTAACCCTCAAGATTGCCGATGTGAGCAAACCCTAAACCCTAAACCCTAAACCCTAGGCTCCCTTCTGGGAGCTGCGTCTTTTCCCTTTTTGTAGAAGCTCTTGCTGCGGAGGGTTTAGGGTTTAGGGTCTAGGGCTTGCTGCTCGCGCCAGAGCACCCCTGGGCCGTCGTGCTCCAACGAGGGTTTAGGGTTTAGGGTTTAGGGTTTAGGGTTTGAGGTGCCTACAGGTGACCGACCCGCTGCTGCACACGAAGTTTTTCGCTGCCCGATAGCTGCTGCTGCTTAGAGCAGCAGCAGCTGCTGCTGCATCTGCTGCTGGTGCTGCTGCTGAAGCTGCTTTTGCTGCTGCAGCCAATTTTACTGCTCAGCCAATTTTACCGCTGCAGCTGCTGCTGCAGCTGGCAGCAGCAGCCGCAGCAGCAGCTGCAGCACGAGGCTGTGGCCCGTTAGTTCGCCCTTTGCTTGTCTTTGTCCT